GCATGTAAGTATATCCTATTATCTCTTGGTGGCTTCCCGTATAAGGATCGAATCAGCAGGTTCATTTGGATCGAATAGGTCGCTTCTAACTAATCAATTTCGTTCAGTTTTACGGTACCAGACTCATCTATTCGATTAATCCTCTCGGGCAGAATTGTTCTTAGGAGCAAATTAACTTGTCACAATGCATGTTTAACTTTGCGCCTCGTTTGATAGCTCACCAATTTATTGGCGATTTTACTATATATTTATGGTCATTTTTTCCAAAAAAAAATACAGATACAAATATATTATAATCGTATTGTAATTTGTATGTAACTTTTATATGATTTTGAAATCAATATATTTGCTCTAAGATTCGTATAATCAAGAAAAGCAATTATCACAACGTATGCCCCTTACAAGTTGTATTGCAGTTATGTATAAGTTGCAATATAATTCTATTACTATTATACTATATTTATATATGTTGTAAATTTTTAAGATGAAATTTGATATTTATGTATAGCTAATCTCCGGACTTGTAGTTGACCAGCAACCAAAGTCAATATGCAACAATGCTCCTGTGCTGTGATCGATATTCGACAGAGACATCTTCACCGGAAAGAAGATTAATTAAGGAGTACAATACTGCTGCAAAATTTGACGGATGCATCATGCATGCAATTGCTACGAAAAGGCTCGGAAGTTTTTAATCAATCATCGTCGCCAGAAAAAAAAAGAAAGAAAAAGCTGCGGCGCCATCCATTTGGCGACAAGTAGTGGAGACGGACGGGGAGACTACTGGCAGATCGGCACAGGCGCACAGCAGCAGCCAAAGCGACAGTTGCGAAGTGGAAAGTGGGGTTGGCACTTGGCAGGCACGGCGCGCGGAGTCGCGGACGTCCCCGCACACGCTCACGCTCACGCACACGCCGCCACGCATACGCGACACCCGGGTGCCACGCGCGTCGCGGGCGAGCGGTGCCCCGAGCCCCCGGCGAGGCGCGGCTCGCGCATGCTCGTGATCGCGACTTCGCGAGACGTCGTCGTCGTCGCGCGCGCGCGCGATGCCCGGGCGGGCGCGCGGCGGCGCGGGATGCACGTGTTGCTGCTGGCTTAGCTTTTAGGAGTAGCTGGGTAGATGGGCCGGGGGGTGACGTTGATGCGGATCGCGGGGTTGGTTGGTGAACGGTGACGGGGCGAGAGCTGCCTTTACCGGATGCTTTTGCCCCCGTTCCGCGCGGCGGGGAGAACGTAACTACTGTGTATACTACGTCTTATTTTCGCGGTAAAAACGCTTCGAACCAACGAAAGGCAAAGGTTGCTACTGCTGCTGCGTGTGAATTCCCGGCTTGTGTTGTTCCACGAGTTAGCGAAACGAATATAGAACAAAGTGTGGGCAAATTGGGGGAATTTTAGGTCCTCCAGAAAGAGAGGATGAAGGAGACGGGAAATTAAGGGCGAATAAAGCGGAAATTGGAGGTGATCAATCTTTAATACCAAAAGGACGGTTTTGTTCTGGTTAGGGGTATCTTTCGCGGATAGAACATAGGTCGTTTTCTGTGTTTACGGGAACCACTTTATGCAACTACTTCTATTCAATTTGTATACAACAAACGGAGAAACCACAATGATCGACGATATATAGTCAACTCGGTCACGATTGTGCGTATAGCTACATACGTACCCCCTTCGTTCTAAAATAAGTATAAGAAATTTTGACTCGATGTAATACATTCTATATCTATATTTCATATTTTGGGATGGAGGATACTCCCTTATACTTTTTGCGTCCCGAAATAAACCAACCTCGTATGCATTATAATATGATTAATCAAATATACTTATATTTAGATTCATCCTACTATATTGCGTTATATCTTAATTGGTTTATTTTGAAATAGAAAAGGTATGCTAAACCAAACCAGTTGATCATAATTTCACATCCTGGCGTTTGACCGATCAACGAGGCAAGACCATCTTCATCCTTGTAGTTGCTAGTGAATCCGTAACCAAACTAAAAACCATATCTACAACGATAAGGAAAGATAAGGCCATAACCAATTCTAACCCATCTCTAACTAGCCAATGTAATAGCCAATTCATACAATAGTTGCTTACTATACTATTAATATGGTCCCACCTGTCATACACACATTACGTCTTATAGTCCGTGCTGCAGCGGGCTATAGAAATATTTGGTCCCACCTGTCATACACACATTACGTCTTATAGTCCGTACTGTAGTTGGATACAGATCTGTAGCTCGCTGTTCTTCTCTCTTTTCTTTTATCTCTTTAAAATATGTTTATAGCTGCTCTAATACTCTTAGCAAGGATATTGAAAAGACTAACACGGCACCTTTAATTCCACCAATAATTAATCGATCGCCGGTTTCGAACGTGCGCACCACGCGTATATATGATCACCGGGCTCCACCGCAGCAGTGTAGCCACGACGAACGTACGTACGTCGTCTGAGAGACATTCTACCACGTGCAAGTTGTCGATGGATGGCTCGCTAGTGTCCACAGTGACGCACGATTGCACGAACGTTAACGCCCCGGCTGTACGCTTGCTGCACGAGATGAAGCTAGCCCGCGCGGCCGGACCACTGCCGGCCTGGCCTAGCTAATTGCCTTCGTATCACGTGGTCATACACATCCGTGACGCTCTAACCTAGCTGGTTAGCTTTGCCGTGATTATTAATTAAGTTGCATTAGTTTGCCATTTTTTTACGGTTTTTCAGCATACTGTTCTGGACTTTTAATTTGGCCCCAGTAGTAAAAACCAAGGTTCAAATCCCACGGATTTACAAGCTACTAGTTTGCTATATAAAGTTGCAATTAATTAGAACCATTTTTCACTTCAATCATTAGGATAACGTTTGGTCAAAATAGGTTTTTTTTAAGGTGTATATGTATCTGAGATATATCTCTAATTAATATAGTAGCACATTTATATCACGTTTCGCACGCTGTATAACCTTTAACTTAACTATGATATATAAACATGATTGCTTTGCTCATAGGTAGCGAAGAGTTTATAGAATTTTAGTCCATATGTGTATTAACTTCTTACCTTTTTATAGAGCTTGGACATATCTTATCCTCTTTATGTTATTGTCTTATCGATACTTATCATGCGTATTCAACTTAATCCTAAACCTAACCCTTATCCACCCACTCCTCACATATTTTCTCTTTGGTTATACGCATATTGTCTATCGTTGCATGTTGTCATCATTGATATCACTGTTAAACTATGCAGTCAAATTCTTTTACTTACTTTGCTCCCGGTTACCATCAAATACAACCATTACCTATTCTTAGTCACCATCAGAAAACAACTATTACCTATTGTACTTATTTGACTTGTGGTCTGTTCTATCACGTTCAACCCTCTCTAAATCCACGTGTTATCCTCTCTTTGCTCTCAAAACCAGTATCACTTTTTAAAATAAATTATCATGTTTCATCATCATCATCATCATCATTATTATTATTATTATTATTATTATTATTATTATTATTATTATTATTATTATTATTATTGCTGCTACTCAAAATGTATGGGCAGCTTGCATTTGAAGCTGAATTGCAAAGGATACATGCAATCCACTATATGGCATCAAATCCCTGTACAACGCAGGAATCTGGAATACTACTAGGAAAAAGAGAATCACGGCGTGCCATTGGCCAAACCCCCACGACGTCTCTTGTCGTCAGTCGCCACGACGGTTGGGCAGCCGTGGCTGGGTCAGCACATACACGGGCTCGCACGGCACGGCTTCCTCCCCCGTTGAGTCTACTCGTGAGCAAGCAGCCGTTTGTTTACCCCCGAGCTCCCGGGCATTTAAACCCCTTCACCCACCTCGACCCAGCACAAGAAAAATAAAGGAATTAAAAAGAAAAAACTAAAATATCCGTTTCGCCGCACCGGCCTCCTCCTCGCCGGCCGCCGCGGCGACCGAGCGCGTCGTCCAACGCAAGGCTCGATCCCGTCGCGCCGCCCCATGCACCCATTCTGCTGCGTGCCCCCGGTCCCCGTCTCCCCCGCCGCCTCTGCCGCCGCCGCGGCCACGCCGGCCGCCTCGTCCGCGGTGGCCGGGGCCCCCGCCGTGATGCCGCCGCCGCCCCCGCCTCTGCCGCCTCCTCCCCCGCGGAGCAACTCGGCGCCGCCGGAGCGGCGCGCTCTGCGCTGGGCGGCGGGGGGTGGTAGCGGGGGCGGCAACTCCCCGCCGGAGGGGGTGAAGCTGAACGAGATCGTCGGCGGCGGCATCTCCGGGATCCTCTACAAGTGGGTCAACTACGGGCGCGGGTGGAGGCCGCGGTGGTTCGCGCTCCACGACGGCGTGCTCTCCTACTATAAGATCCATGGTCCCGACCGCATCGTCCTCTCGCGCGAGACCGAGCGCGGCGCCAAGGTCATCGGCGAGGACTCCCTCCGCCGCCTCTCCCGACCCTCCACCTCCTCGTCTTCCTCCGCGCACTCCAACGGTCACCACCTACCCCGCAAGCCTATCGGCGAAATTCACCTCAAGGTCAGCATCCTCTGTTCGAATCGCCTCCATGATCTCCAGATCCATCTCGTCCGGTTCTTACGGTGAAATGGATTGCGTGTGCAGGTGTCGTCCGTGCGGGAGAGCAGATCGGATGACAGGAGGTTCTCGATCTTCTCGGGGACGAAGAGGCTGCACCTCCGGGCGGAGACAAGGGAGGACAGGGCGGCGTGGGTCGAGGCGCTGCAGGCGACCAAGGAGATGTTCCCGCGGATGTCCACGAGCGAGATGGTGGGGCCAGGGGACACCGCAGCGGCCGTGGCTGTCTCCACCGAGCGCCTAAGGCAGCGGCTGCAGCAGGAAGGAGTCAGCGAGGCGGCCATTGCTGACAGCGAAAGGATCGTGCGCACCGAGTTTGAGGTCTTGCACAAGCAGCTCATGCTCCTTAAGCAGAAGCAGACGCTCCTCCTGGATACCCTCCGTCAGCTAGAGGTATTGCTATTCATTGTACTATACTTAATTGTGCGTGAGGTTGGTATTTGTAGTTTCCTTGGCATGGTGTGATATTGCGGCATTTTTTGCTTGCTTAAGTTAATTCAAGGAAAAAAAAGTACGGGGGTACTTTACTTATGAACATTTTATGTTGGCTGAACCATCTGACCATAGTGTCCTTGGAAAATTTGAATTCTAGTGGTCACTCTATTTAACATGCTTTAAGTTTTCTGTTTATATTAATTTTCTGACTCTGTTGCTTTAGTGACCATGTCAGATGTACTTCAACTGTTAATAATTGAATGTACTATGGAAATTGAGTAATGCAGCATATCTGATATATTATTTGATGGAAAATGAAATTCTCGCCTTAGTTATATGTACTATTTACTAGGTAGTCCTTCATTTTACTTCTATGTCTTTTAGGAATTATTTCTTTCTATCGATGGCGTATATTAATGTAAATGGAATATAGTCAATCTTCAGATATATCTAACTGCCTTAGGAATAATTTTTTCTGGTCAGAACTGATAAAATGTTATCTACGCCTCAGTGCGACATGATTTCAGTTTAGTTGCTATTTTCTGTGATCTGGTTGCCAACCATCCCATTGTACAGACAAGGCCCTGTTTTGGAAGTGGGACAAGTTTCCTGTTTGTGTTCCAACTTCCAAGCAGTGCTTAATATTTTTTTTGCATTGTTTTTCTAACTATTTGATGAAATAAGAAATCAAAGAGGTTTCATTAGCTAGTACAGAGCCTTTTTTCTTTGTCAGGAAATTGCTATGCCATGATGTTTCCTTAATTGAAAATATACCTCCCGTTGTTACTTTAGTCCAGCTCCTTGTCATCCAGATTGATTGTTCAATTTGAGATTATGTGATATGCTAGAAAATGTAATGGATATCTTTGCATCTCATTTTGGGGAAAGAACCCTCCCCTTTCCGGACTCTCTTTAAATCATGCATTTCAGTTCTCGATTTGTTATCTTAAAAATGTTAATGGAAGCTAGGAAGGATCATGTGGAATTTATGATGATTCTCATTACTTTTGCTACTTATTATATTTAATAGGAAGTGTGGAATTTATTAATGTCTTCTGCTCATAAATAATGCGAGTTTCAAGTTATTAACTGCACTACATTTGCTTGGTAAGGATTAAGGGGGTTCCTTTGTGCGCACTTAGTTGTAGGCATGCCTACTTCATATCTGATCTCCAGCTGTTGACTACATTATACCTTTCAAATATGGTATTGAACATGTGCATCTGTAAAGCATTCCCATTTTGGTACATGTCCACATGTGTTGGACACATTACATCTTGTGCCATACTGGGACATATGTGTTAAACACATTGCTTTGCTTCTTACCTATGTTGTTTTAGTGAGTAATAAGGATAAGGATGCCAGATGAGTAATGCTGAGTAATTGTCAAAATCTTAAAGAGGGAGGGTAAGCAGAGTCTGCCACACCATCCGCTCATTCCCAATCTTAACCGTGGGGACGCCTCCAGCAGATATATCAAATGTGACAACGTGTCCTTAGGAGCTTAACTATCCTCTTGAGGGGCTTTGGGCTTAACAATGTATTGACGGCAATGCTGGCGAGCCGGCATAGCAGCCTAAGGAGCAACTGTGTCGCTGAAAAGAAACAAGGACCTGATCTGAGTTCAGGACAGAGGGATGGGTGTGGACAGAAAAGGTAACAATAACACTGCAAAAGGGTCAGATTAAGAGTAGGTGATGGGGGTAAAAACGGCGGTCTACAGGTCTTTTTAGAGGGATTTACCAATGGGTTATTTCAAATTTTGCTTGCTGTATTCCAGTAGTTCTGATTGTAGATTCTGATTTTTCTCTTAAGTACTGTTGGATTTGTACAGAATTCGTGTACTGATTTCCTCTAATAAAGTGTTCTTTTTTGTGCCTTGCTGTAGACAGAAAAGGTCGATTTGGAGAATACCCTTGTAGATGAGAGCCAAAGACAGTCAAAAGAGTACGGATCCACTTCTAGATCAAAGAATGAGAAGTATAGTGGTATGATAACCGGTGAATAGTTTGTCCCTGTCATGTTACGCCACTACACCTGTCATTGCTATGTGCTGTTTCTTGCTCTGGTTTGTGGGAAAGAAATATTGCTAACATTTATAGTGCAACCTTTTACGAAGGGGAAATTCAATACATGTTACTCATAAAAACAGTTTCCCTTGATAAATACCACTCCAAAGTTGCACTATCTTGATTATTTAGTGTTACATATCAGAATATCTACATTTCTTGAACTGCCAAACAATGTAGGCCTTGGTTTGGATCTGACTTAGATTTTCTGTCTGGTTGCCAAAACTAGAAGCAAACTATTGTCTGCCATGCACAGTGGCGGATCTAGACATTTTTTAAGCCTGGGCAAACCTAACGATAGATAACAAATTAACAAGTAAACAAAAATACATATAGCATTTTATCATGAATAAGAAGCAAAATTGGGCTGCTGGCTAATAACCAAGTATGATAATTAGTGCTAATCTAATGGTGTATGTGCAGCTAGGCTAATGGTTAAGCACTATATTTAGCTCTAATGCATGGATGCATGTGGCGGAGCCCGGGTGCCTGCCCGTGCTGGCCGGGCCTTGGCTCCGCCGCTGGCCATGCATTAGTAATTGTGAAATATCAGATAAAGATGACTGCTTTTTCATGATAAATATCCAGGATAGATTTGCTCTTATATGTAGCTCTTGACGTTCATTTCTTCAGTATTGGTTTAATCTCTTTTTGATTTTTTTTATGGCTAGTTCAAGTATTGTTCCTGCTTTTTCAGAAGGAAGTGCTAGTGAATCTGATGATTATAATGAACCACAAGATCCAGCTGAAGACGAAACTGACGATGATGAGAATATATATTTTGATACACGAGATTTCCTGTCATCAAGTTCTTTTAAAAGCAGTGGATCTGATTTCCAAAGATCAGAAGCTGGTTCGGATGATGAGGATGATTATCCAATGGATGGTATTGATACCTCTATGAAATCCGTTGGAATTAGTTACCCATATGTCAGAAGGCGTAAGAAGCTGCCAGATCCAGTCGAGAAAGAGAAGGGTGTAAGCTTGTGGTCAATGATCAAGGACAATATAGGAAAGGATCTAACCAAAGTTTGTCTGCCTGTTTATTTCAATGAACCACTCTCATCTTTACAGAAATGCTTTGAAGATCTTGAGTATTCCTACCTTATTGATCGCGCTTATGAATGGGGGAAAAGGGTATTTCTTCTTCCTTTCACTATTTAATATGTTCATGGGCATGCATGTGCATTTTCAAATAACATTCCAAATAAAAGCAAATTAAGAGTTTGAACCGTGTATCCTCCAACTTGCATCTATATGTTTATTTGATGGATATACTTCCTTCTACTTACGTGTAGCATATATCCAATTTTCTGAGATCAATTTGCTTGTGGTCTATACGTATAACACAATTGGGATCTCTATTATTTAGCAAACATATTGACTGCTTAGTTCAAATGTGCTTGCCTTTCAGAATGCCTGTCCTACAGTTGCACCACCAGATGCCATCCCCTTTCTTGTTCTATGTTGTACACATTTATTTAATAATTTCTATTTTGTTTCATTAATTCAGTCTAGTGAATTCTCCATTAAAAGTTGCAGCATTGCTATACATTAGTATGGCTGAGACTGTCTCCAACTGTTAGATTTCCCTGCAAAGGCAACATATTTATTTTCTCTGCATCCAATTTGTGATAAAATGTTTATCTGCACATTTCTGTCATGATTAGTTTGCTGCACCTTACATTTCCTATGCTAAAAACTCAGGGCAATAGTCTGATGAGGATCCTTAGTGTAGCAGCATTTGCTGTTTCTGGCTATGCATCTACGGATGGAAGAAGCTGTAAGCCCTTCAATCCACTTCTTGGGGAGACCTATGAAGCAGATTATCCAGACAAAGGCCTCCGTTTTTTCTCAGAAAAGGTTTTGTCTGTGGACCTTTGAAAGCTACTTATATTTTGTAATATGAAGAAGATTTTCTTACTATCGGTTCAGCATAGCCAACCTTTATAACTTAACACAGACTTTTTAAAGTAGTACTACTGCTTTTGTACAGGCATGATAATCCAGTTAGTAAAGGTTTGGCAGAAAAAATGTATTACAAAGTTGTCACTTGACTGTTCCCTGACACCAAAGCCATGTTACATTATGTTGGTACCTGTGTCTTCTTGGTAAATGTTACATTATGTTTTAAATTTTTAATTCGTAGTTCTATTTCTTCCGATTGTCCGTATTTCTCTTTATGTTCACAGATCACTGGAAACTCTGTTCTCTGACTATTTGATCATCAGATGGTCTATCCTGTATATGCTTGAATATTTTTCCCCTATAGATTATTGTCTTCTGCTAGTTCTATTTGGATTTGCATTTTGGTTGATTAAGACTCTTCAATATGACTTGCCAGGTTAGTCACCATCCTATGGTGGTTGCATGCCATTGTGAGGGAACTGGGTGGCGGTTTTGGGCAGATAGCAACCTAAAAAGCAAGTTCTGGGGTCGCTCCATTCAACTTGATCCTGTTGGTGTGCTAACCTTGGAGTTCGATGATGGTGAAGTTTTCCAGTGGAGCAAGGTACCATTACATATTTAGCAAGAAGTGGTTAGATCTTTGGTCTGTGGAAATAATTCACTTGAAATATTCTATCTCAGGTGACAACTTCCATTTACAATCTCATATTGGGTAAACTGTATTGTGATCATTATGGTACTATGCGAATACAAGGCAATAATGAATATTCGTGCAAGTTGAAGTTTAAGGAGCAGTCAATTATTGATCGTAACCCACATCAGGTATGCTTGTAAATTTAGTGCATTTTGTGTCCATGTCAGCTCTTTCTGGTTTCTGTTTTTTTATTCCCTTTGTAGTTATTATCACACCTCACACATGAAAAACTCGGAAGAAAAGCAATAATCATATCCAAACCATATGAAATTTGTACTTCTATATTACACTGGTGGATGATGATCCACATATGTTGGATGAATTTACTAGTACTATTCTTGCTGAACCCAATTTAAACCTAAAACATACTCACTCACTTCCTGTTTCTTTTTATACGGCTTGTTTTGAGCGGACACAAGTATTAAGGAGATAGAAAAGTATGAAAACAAGGGAAAGACGGGTTAGATGATCATGCTACCCATAGTTGAAAATCTTGGAGATACAGGAGATAATGAATAATGAGTTGTTTCTTATTAATGTAAGAGGGACTATGTGATCAGCATGGTTGTTACGCTGAAGCAGCAAGGCACACAGAAGAAGGCAAGGCAGTGCTTGGCCTTGCCTCACAGGAGAATGAAGGGTGCAAGGGCCAAGGAAAATGGGATGGAAGGTAGCAGGATGTTGATTAAGGTTGTGGTCACTTCTTCCTTGCCACAGCTGACTTGCTGTCACAGATCCCACACACTGCCATCAGATGTAGATCCAGATTGCAGTTGTTGCAGCTTACAACTCTTGAATCTCTGGTGGTGGCAGTGGACAGCGAGGTGAGCAGAGGCGTTGAGCTGTTGCAGCCATGGATTTTGAGCTCATACAGAGGTGGCTGGCAGCCAGATCGATCTCAGCAGTGGCCTAGTGATCTGTTATTCTGCTTGTCATGGCGTCTGGTGCCTGGTGGCATGCGATGTCGCTTAGGGCACAAAACACGTGGCTATGATGCTGATGTTGGGCTTTAGTGGGCTGGCAGCCTGGGCAGCCTAGCTTAGTGCGCTACTGGCCCTTTTATCAATTTCCCCCATTTTCTTGCTAATTTCTCTACAATATTGTACACTAATCACGCCTCAGCCACCTTATGTGGCATCGCTTTGCTTCACGCCTCACATGCTATGGTGCTGAGACAGAGGTGTGTCCCCTTAAACTGCCTTAACAGCATAGGTGATCGCGTAAACAAGGAATATAAGCAATGAATTCACATGTGTGTCTTATATTTGACTTGTGAAAAGAATTGGAGGGACTAAGGGATAACGATACACAGTTGGTATGGATGCATCGACTGCACTATAAATGTTGAATCCATAAGTTTAGATGGGATATCTAGTTCACTATTTACACGTTCAGTATTGTGTGAAGCAAATCTAATGGGTTCTACTTACTAATATGTTCTTTTTTTTTTGAATTTTCTCTGATAATTTCACTATTTTAGCCCTAAGACCTAGTGCTCAAGTTCAAGTGTACATTGCATTATGAAAAGCCGTTTCTTTATTGAGTGAAAAGCTATCACGATAATGATTGTTATTGGCTTGTTTTAGTGTTGGAATATTTGTATTTGCATGTTGTGCCGTGAGAGAGAAAATGTAATAGTACTTTTTACAGTGAAATGGAATGTGAGCAGTTTTTTAGCTTACACAAAATGAACTATTGAAAGATCCTTTACGTGGAGAATAAACGATATGGACATCCCATTTAAATAACTCTTCATTTTTCTATACAATGAAATTTTGTTGAGAATTTGGAATGGATACAAAATATTCTGCATTACCTAGCTATAGATTATATTGAAATGCACATATCTACCATTTAAGCCTTTTTTTTCCTATGTTTGTGAAAGTGCCATGACTCTCTCATAGTGCATTGTTTATGAAATATCTTAGTCCATCTAGCATATTTTATTCAGGTGAATTAATGTATATGCAGGTACAAGGTGTTGTTCAGGACCGAAGTGGTCGAACTGTTGCTACACTCTTTGGGAAATGGGATGAAAGCATGCACTATGTGATGGGTGATTGCTTTGGAAAAGGCAAGGGATCTGAAAATTTCTCAGAGGCCCATTTGTTGTGGAAAAGAAGCAAACCACCTAAGTTTCCCACCAGATACAATTTTACTCGCTTTGCAATCACATTAAATGAACTTACCGCTGGATTGAAGGTAAATATACTTATGGTCGCAACAAGTTATCATATTCACTTCATACTGAGATCTGACTAACAACAACAACCAGGAAAAACTGCCACCAACAGACTCTAGATTGCGACCAGATCAGCGATGCCTAGAGAATGGTGAGTATGAAAGAGCAAATGCTGAGAAGTTGAGGCTTGAACAGAGACAACGACAGGTTAGTCTGTTACACCTTTCGCATTATATATTCTGGTAAAGCATGCATTAGTTAAAAGCAACTGAATCCAGAAACAAACGTTTGCATCAGCTGCATTTCAGAATTTCCATGCCGGAGTCCAACTGCTGTACATAGGCCAAACTATATTAAGTTTGAAGTAACACTGGGAGTCTGCAGCTTATTCTACTGCAAAACCAACCCAGAGTAGTGGAAGAAAGAACAAATAATTTGGAAGAATGGAAATAATTTGTTATTTGTTATTGATAGTGCTTTTTACTTGGTAATCTGCACCTGGCATTAACAGGCCAGCTATAGATAAAGTCCCCCTCCCCTTCACTAAAGATGTTGAATTCATCAAAGTTTAGCAAGGGGCCTTATTTTTCTGAGGAAGTAAATAAAATTGGAGAACACCGCATACTAAAAGCAAGTAAACTAAAGTGCCAAATAGTGCACGATTTTGGGTCAGAAAACAATGAATCGAGTCCGTGTGGGTGTATCCATCATGAAATGACACCAACTATGCTGCTGCAGGCACGGAAGATGCAGGAGAGCGGGTGGAAACCTCGGTGGTTTGCAAAAGATAAAGCTACCGACACATACCGCTACCTTGGTGGTTACTGGGAATCCAGAGAAAAGGGCAGCTGGGAAGGCTGTCCAGATATCTTCGGACAAGTTCCTAACGATTTGATGATAACTGACTAGGCTTTGAGTAGGTTACAGGTCTTCTGGTTCTCTGCTTTTATTCTTTCTGTGGGATCACTTGATTCCAGATTTTTTAGCGGTTTATATTAGAGCAATTAAACGGGTCTTGGCCTGTAAGGAGAGGCTGTGCTTCAGACATATTGTTTTCGTACATAATAAGTGAGGTTCGTCCAAAGTGTCGCTTCGAATCAGTGTTTTCTTGTGAGGATTGCATGCTCACAAGTTCAGAGTGCTTTATCATAGGCCATCTGTGTATACCAGACATGTAAAATGTTCTGAAGCGCAAAAGAATGAAATTCAGCATTCATGTCTCTTTAGGGTGTGTTTGAGAAGAAGGGGATTGAGGAGATTGGGAAGATATGCAAAACGAGGTGAGCCATTAGTGTATGATGAGTTGAGTATTAACTATTTTAAATTTAAAAATGGATTAATATGATTTTTTAAAACAACTTTCCTATAGAATTTTTTTTATAAGAAACGTACCGTTTAGTAGTTTGGGAAGCGTGCGCGCGGAAAACGAGATGTTTTCTCTCTCAATCTCCCAGTTCACCCGGGAACGAACTAAGCCTTAGTGCAGTTATCGATTGTTTTGGAATGTAGCGTCTGTGTTCTTTAGTGCGGGCTGCGTTCGGCAGATAAAAAGAAGAAAATTTTTCGTTTTCCTTTCGTGAATTACTAAATGGTGCCTTTTAAAAAAAACACTATAGAAAAGATATAAAAAGATGTTAGTCAATTTTTTGAGTTTGAAATAATTAATACTTAATTTATTACACCTTAATTGTTCATATTTCATATAAGAAGAAAGAAAAAGATCGAGAAGATAGTATTTAGTCATTACAGTATTATATTTCAATTGCCGAAAGAAGAGTATTATTATCTTTGGTTATGTAAATAAAGGTAGTTATAATATCCTTAACGGCCCACCGGACCGTGGCGTTCTGAGGCCACAACGAAATGCTCCAGCCCATTTATCTCCTCTGTCCTGGCTACATGCGCGGCAGGCAATCAAGTCCAAGTGCTGACTGCGCCGTTGTGGCGTGGTGTCTGTGGCACACACCCCATCTCTTCAGCGCTTGCACATGAGTACATGGCTCGCCATCAACCGCATCCAACACCGTCCCGCGCCGACGCTGCCGTGGCAGCGCCACCACGACGCATCACGTACTACGCGACGCTCGCCATCACAAGGCCTCCGCTTGCTGATAAACCGCCCGCCCCGCGTCTTGGTGTGGATACGTTGTTCGTCGCCGTCCGCTCGCTTTCATCCAGGGACGCCATCTGAACAAAGTACATAGCAGCGATTTCTTCAGTGGCATTTATAATGCCGTACGCGCCTTCGTTTTCTCATGGTTTCCTCTAGGAACAATAATGTTGGGGGAGCAAGTAGGACCGTTGCGTTCACGATGGCCACCTTTCAGCCCCCGCGCCACTGCAGCGTGAACCGCCGACAGCGCGGCCCCACCGTGTGCCCGTGTGCCCCACGTGGCATTGTCGTGCCACTGGCTGACCGTAAAGTTGAGACGTGCATTCGATGAAGGCTGTATTTACATCTCCAAACTTCAGTCCTTTTCCATCTCATCAACATGACATACACACATAACTTTTCAGTTACGTGATCTCTAGTTTTAACCAAAATCTAAACTTTGTGCTGAACTAAACACGGCCGAAATTCATTCCATTCAGTTCCACTTTCCACCGATTAGTTTTTCTAGTACTGTTTTTCTAGTGGATTTCCTTCCGTTATCATTGAAGCACAGAGAGTGGAGCGGCATGCAGGGTCAACGGAGCTCAGACACCAAGACAGCAACGTCACCTGGAACCGACCCTGCTACGGCCTACTCCTACGGTTGTACTCCAAGAAACTTCTGTGTCAGGGACGACGACCTGCAGCTACACGACGGACGAGCCGCATGCATGCATGCATCGCGTGCACGCCGCTCGAAAGCCGCTCGAAACCGAGACCAACACAGGAACACAGGAAGGCAACCCCGGCCCGCGCGCGCACGAAGGCCCGCGCGCGAAGGAAGCAGGACATGGGCCCCCGCGCTTGATTGATCGATCGGCATCGCCGCATCGGCAGATGCGGCGCGCGCGTCGATCTGTACGTACTCCTACGCGGAAACCGATCGATCCCCTGCACTGCACTGCACAGGACACAGGGCGGCCTTGCCGTTGCCATTGCCGTGGATAGCTAGGTCGAGATTCCCTGCAACGCATGCCCTGCCACCGTATTAAACGAGCTGCTGCCCGCCTAGATGGAGTACTGTAGAATACGGTAGCTAGCTCAGCTGGGAGGTTGCTGCGTGCGCCCCAGAGAGCGCGTCAGCTCGAGGCCCGCCGTGTCGTCGTAAGTCTAGGGCTCTAGCTAGGCGCGTTGATCTTCTGGGCGTCGGAATATCCAGATCGGTTTTGAAAACAATTTTCTGATGCCCGTGACCCGCAAACGCGCAGGGACATGCGGAGATCCGACGCGACGGTCGTTTTGATAGGTAACAGGTTTGTTAATTAACTCAGGATTTGGGCTCTGAAGTTAATTTGTCGTGCACTATAGCTGTTGGCAGCTACAGCCGCGATGATGGCGTTCAGAATTTCACTGATGAAACACCTTTTGCGGCTATTAAAGAGTTGATTAGTGCAACATTACTCCGCCAAATTAGCGCCATCATTAGCACCAGCATTTGTCACCAAAATGCCAGCACGAACATAGCCAATGTCATGTGCCCATGTGCATGATCTTAATGATGACTTGCGGTCGAATTTGCATTCGTACGTTTGTCTCTTATCTGTCCCCGAAACGTCACAATTCTTTTTCTACCAGTCAAACAGTGAACATTTCCCTGTTGCCATTTGTCCTAACGGTGCCAAACGGGCAGATAGCCACTTAAGCATGCATTCTTAATCACTGCACAGATGACATCGTTCTGACGCTGAGCCCTCACCTTCTCGTCCGTCCATCACAACCCTAATGTGTCCGGTGTGAGATCGAAATGAACGTGATCATGGTCTCATGGAGGCCAAAGACTGACACACCGGACCCACCAGTGCAGCATGCATGCATGAATTGCATCCATGGGACCCACGGTTCTCCCTTCTCCACAACCCTCTCATCAAAGCTCTCCCAAGATACGTCCCTTTCGCCAAATGAGGCACTGTCTCCCCCCTCCCCCCTCCCCGCCCACTACAGTCGCCTTGCACCAAAGAAAAGCAACGGGAGAAAGGCAAGGAAACAGAGAGAGAGAATGTGTGTCTGTGTGTGCGAGAGAGAGAGACGCAGCAGCTGCTGCCTGCTGCTGCTGCGTATTCATTCATGTACGCACAGTGCAGGTGGTCCTCGTCACACTCAAGGAATCGATCGGTCAGGAGACCTGGACCTGCACCGCTGATCGTCGCCTGTAATGCTCGACGGCGACGGATGAGTTGGTCTTTGGGATCTGCACGGTTCGTGCGACACATCCCAGCCGTCCATTCGTTCCAAGCATGGGACACAGCGCGTGCATGCACCGGTCTGACAGGCGACACAACCTCTCGCGGGCGCATCGCACACACACACGCAGCTACTAGCCGCAGAGAAAGACAGGCGCGGCCGGCCAAGGAACGAATCGAAGCCAGCAGCAGCAACACGATGCGAAACTGTGCAGCGTACGTGTTGGGGGTGAACTTGTACAGCAGCCACAGCTAGCTACTCCTGTCAAGCTATACCTAGCATATACACAGTTGTATACTGAGTAGACCTGTATCAGCACTTCACAGTCTAAGAGCAAGTTTAATACTATAGCCCACTGCTAGCTCCAATTTATTTATAGCCAATCCAATAACCAATTCATACAAAAGTTGTTTACTATACTATTAATATATGGTCCCACCTGTCATACACACTGTGTCTTGGAGTCCATACTGCAGCAGGCTATAGATCTGTAGCCCGCTGCTCTTCTCTCTCATCTTTTATCTTATTAAATTATGTTTATAGCTGGCTAATAGTCTGCTATTGTACCTGCTCTAAGAGCAAGTTTAATGGTATAACCCACTATGACTCCCATTCATGTATAGCCGATCTAATAGCTAATTCATATAATAGCTGCTTACTATACGATTAATATATGGTCCCACCTGTCATACACACATTGCGTCTTGAAGTCCGTGCTGCAGCTGGCTACAAATCTGTAGCCCGTTGCTCTTCTCTCTCATCTTTTATCTCATTAAAATATGTTTATAGCTAGCTAATAGTTTGCTATTGTACCTGCTCTAAAACTCCGAAGCTGCTAGCGTACTCCATCCGTTCCAAAAAAAAATCCATTCCTCGTATTCCAAGGTGGATTTAGTGTAGATGGAGAATGACTAAAATGTCCTTAATAATTAAAAAAAGTAGTAAGAGTGATAGGTAGGAAAAAGTTATTGAATGGATAAAATTTTTCGTTTTACGTGCTAAGGGTAGGTAGGATGGTAGAAGTTATTTTTTTTTGACAAAATTCAAACATTAGAAGTTGAGTTTTTTTTTAGGATGGAGGGAGTACGTATCACTAGTGCACTCTCTCTATAGAAAAAATAAATAAACCTAGTATAGCATAAGATATTATACATAGTACAATAATAGCTAAGAACATCTCCAACGGCCTTTCCTAATCGGACTCTCCAAACACTCATATAGTCAACTCTTTATCTGATTTTGCTAGTCAAACTAAATGCTCATTCCAACAAACTCTCTACTAATCCTCTCCAAAATAACAACGGACCCACATGTCGGCCTCTACTCCTCCTCTTTCTTTCTCCCCCTTCTTCCTTCTCTTTCCTTCTTTTCCCCTTTCCTTCCTTCCCGTCGACCACGCCGATTATAGCGGCGGCCGACGCATGGAGGCTGGAGCACGGTGGTGCAGCGACTCGTTGGCTCGGCGTTGGGCGAAGGCGGCGAGGCGGCGTCCGTGCTCCACCAACACCGACGCTCGCCAAGGCCGAGCGCCGTCAAGCTCCCCTCGGGCTGTCGGATCTAGAGGCCGCCGCCGGCCTTGCCAACCTCGCACTGCTCAGGCCTTTCTGCTCGACAACGGCTTTGCGACAACGAGGCGATAGCGGCGGACAAGGTGGGAGGTGGCAAGTGACATCGACAACAGCTTTGGGGATGGAGCTCTGGGCGGGGATGGCGCAAAGGCTAGTGACAGCGGCGGCGGCTCACGACGACGACGACCTCGATCGGGGTACGAACTTGCGATTTGTCCGTGTCACTGCGATGCTCGGCGGTGGTGGCGGCGGATGGTGGCCCAGACGATGTCAGCCGCGGCAGGTGGTGGTCCAGACGTCGGTGGCACTCT